ATCTTATTCAAAATAATGGCAGCAGATTTTGTGACAACCTTTGAAAGCAGCAATGCGCTCACACAACAAAACACTCATCCTTCATCTCCACATCAGCAGCTCCTATCAAAGTCTTAGCATGGCTTGAAGTTGGTGAGAAGAAAAAAAAGATTTAAATGAAAAAGAAGAATGTGGAAAGTGTGGGAATGAGGAACAGCAGGGCAGACACAAAGGCCCGCCGTGTGTCTGGAGAACTGACCCGATCCAAGACACACAAAGGAACCACTGCAGAGAAAGCTGGACAAGAGCTGGGCACCAGTCCTAGAGAGAGAGAGAGAGGAGGGGCAATTTTGCAACTGTTACAAACAGAAAATGTGAGATTGAGTTCTGTGTAACGGTTGTAGATTACCATTTAAAAGTTTTTTTTTTTTTTATATTTTTGAAAGTCACTGCAGTCATCCGGATCCAGTCCGTATCCAGCCCAGATGGTGGATCAGCACCTAGAGATGACCTCTACAGCCCTGAATGTCAGCGGAGATCAGGACAACTAGATGAGCCCCAGAGACAGATCCCCAGCGAAGACCTTGTCTCCTAGATGGCCACCGGGACAAGACCACAGGAACCAGTTGAGTCCTCTGCACAATCTGACTTTGCTGCAGCCTGGAACTGAACTGCTGGTTTCGTCTGGCCAGAGGAGAACTGGCCCCCGACTGAGCCTGGTTTCTCCCAAGTTTTTTTCTCCATTCTGTCACCGATGGAGTTTTGGTTCCTTGCCGCTGTCGCCTCTGGCTTGCTTAGTTGGGGACACTTAATTTCCAGCGATATCGTCGACTTGATTGCACAGATACTATTTAATCTGAACTGAGCTGGATGATGACATCACTGAATTCAATGATGAACTGCCTTTAACTGAAAATTGAGTGTTTACTATTGTCATTTTGCATTAATTACACACAATTTTTTTTAATTAATGCTGTACAGTTGCTTTGACACAATCTGTATTGTTAAAAGCGTTATATAAATAAAGGTGACTTGACTTGAAAGAAATCTCTTATGATCAAGGCTGAATTTATTTGATCAAAAATACAGTAAAACAGTTATTTTGTGAAATATTATTGCGTTAAAATAAATATTTTCTATTTAAATATATATTACAATGTAATTTATTTTTGTGATGCAAAGCTGAATTTTCAGCTTTTACTGATCCCAAACTTTTGAATGGTAGTGTATTTTAAAACAAAAGTCAAACAAAACAATTTTAATGCTGTTCGAAATAGAAGTCATCGATAATCTTCCCATTTTCCAGAGCTCAAAATCTCATTCGGCCTTCTGTTCATTTAAAAATAGTGCCTTTACTCACAGTGGCAAATTTGAAGGTATCATAAACTGCTTTTTTATAAGGTCCACTTATAATGTTAGCAATATTTTTTACATCAAAAAATAATAATTTAGAAGTTATAGGCTATTTTCTGTCCTGTTTTGACCCCTCTCATCGGAACGTTCTGATTGAAAAGGTGACACAGCATCATCTTTTAGTTTCAATCTTTCTGAAAATCCTGCGTCGAATTATGCCTTGTTTGTAAAGGAATCCACAGTAAAATGAAGTAAACAAAGGACTGAGTTCTTACTGACACGGTCTGGAACTTTATAAAAAATAAAGTTAATCCACTCTTTCCTAATGTTGAGATCAGAAGGAAGGCAATGCAAAGATTGTTTTTTTTCACAACTTGGCACTGCACAGCATCTTGTTGTCTTCAGAGCCATCTTTATCATTTGGTTTCTGCATAGACCTGTGTTTGCCTCTCTCGTTATTTACACTACATGTGTGAAACAGTGGGCGGGGCTAAACAGGCAGTGATGTAGAAGCAGGCGTTGATCTTCTTCTGCGGAGGTTCTAAACAGGCAGTGATGTAGAAGCAGGCATTGATCCTCTTCTCTGGAGGCGGTGTTTAGCCACATTATTGCATCATAAAGTGGCACATTCCACAAGCTGTCGTTTTGGCTGATTGGCTGCTTGACCGATTTGACTGCTTGGATATTCTGCCTTACAATTTTGTGTAAGAAAATCATATAGGCAAACATTTTTTTATTTTATTATAATTTATTTTGGTTATAATTTTTTCCCATATATTACATATTTTATGGTAATATATTTAAAGTATAATTCCTATATTACTAATTAAAATAATCAACATTAATAATAATAATATCAATATTCTAATATTAAATAATTTATTTTTCCTTATAGAACATGGAATTGTCCAGATGTGGTTCACAACACTTACCATCGCAACACTTATCTGTTGACTGGAAAACTAGACTGAATATAAGAAGGAGAGAATGACAAGTTTATGCAGTTGAAAAGATAGAGGAGCGGGTGACACACCTGACAGCAACCTGATCTGTGTCGGAGAGACTCATGCCAGTGACTCTGATGGATGCTGGTCATGTCACAACAAAACGGCCGGCCTTAAAAACAACCACAGGTGTGCTTCGAGAGGTCACCTGACCTCAAATCTGTTTACACACACACACACACACACACACACACACACACACACACACAGATCTAGCTCTTGGACTTATGAAGCTTAGTTCTAACAGGAGAGTAAGCTTACTATGCCAGCTGTAGATGTCTTTACAGTTTTCATTTTGTTGTTGAAATTAACTGAGTATGTATCGCAAATCATTTAATTTAGATCGGAGCTTCGGAGCGTGTTCGTGAATCTTTTGATTCAAATCAGAATTTTGGAGTGGGTTCGCACATCATTTCACGAATTGAACGATTCACGATCTGCACTCCAAAGTCCCGATCTGAAATGATGGTTCGCGAATCATTTGATTTAGATCGGAACTTCGGAGCAGGTTTGTGAATCTTTTGATTAAGATCAGAACTTTGAAGGGGGTTCGTGAATTGATTCAGATCGGGATTTCGGAGCACATATCATGAATAATTTCGTGAATTGAATACATTTTTTTTTCGGATTAATTTAGTTTATTTTTTTCTGTTTATTTTTTTCAGATTTTTTTTCTGTTTTACTACAAATACCATGGTTAAACTATGGTTAGTGTAGCAAAACAATGGTTAATTTGCGGTTACCATGGTTTATTATAATCATGTTTTTTTTTCCACCTTAAGAGGACACAGGATGAATAGAGATTATAGAGACAATATACTTGTCTAGATCAACTTTGAATAAAGAAAAGAGAGGTTTAGAGCCAGATTTAGCTAGCAGGAAACACAAATTAAGTGTTATATTTTGATATATTCTCTTTTGAGTAGTCAAACAATCAAAAGAAGACATCTTTAAAACTGAAAGTCACTTACAAAATGAGATTAGAAACATTAAAAAAAAAATGTTTGGGTACATTGTCAAACAAGTGAATGACACATTCATCAGAAGAGTGACAAAAACACTCTGCATACAATGCAGAAGCACTCTGGATATAATGCAGGAGGGGTTTAGGCAGCAGCTGGGCTGTTTTAAAATCCTGAATTTGACATCTTTGAGGCGTCAATAACTGATCCCCTTCTTTACATTCCCTGCAGTGTTAAAACCACAAAGTGCGGCATCTAATCTCACAGATCCAGCACCAGATCTGCTTATCATAATTTACAGCCAGAGATAAAAGAATGAGGTCAGTTTTAGGTCACTGATGGAAATACAAAAGGAAAAACAGAATAATGCATCTACATGTGCCTCTCAAATGAAAACTAATTTTTAGATGTCATTAAGATTGAATGAATGTTTGTTTGTTTTTCCTCTACAACTTCTGCATGCAGATTCAGTGAATACTCTTACACACTCTCACAATAACAAGGATACAACATATTATAAAAGACTTCTTTATTTCTAATCATCATGAAGCACTTTCAACAAAATGATCTCACGTGTGGTACAGGACTACAATCAGTAATAATTCCAAGCTCAGGCAGTAGTTGGGATTTGGTATAAAAACTAAATCGAGGCGTCTAAAAAAAACTCAGTTTAGATGCATTACAAGCTACCCAGAAATTAGCCAAAGAAAAGACAAACAAAATACGTAACAATAAAGCTGGTCTTGACAAATGCAACATGTAATACAACTTGTACAACTTAGAAAAGTATACTTATTTTAGACTCACAAAGGACACATACATTGTATGTGTTACATTATTATTATTCTTTTTGTTGTTTGTTGTAAGGACGTAAAAATGCTAACTACATCATTCACATATTCAGCAGTCTGTTTAAATACCTTATTTTTCTACAAAGTGAATTTACATTGTTTTAAAGTACAAAGTGCAAAGACTATGGTTTCCATCGTCGTTTTGGTGGTGGCAGGATCTGTGGGACGGGAGCCGGAACAATCGCTGCGACCACTTCTAGAGCCAGATTTAGCTAGCAGGAAACACAAATTAAGTGTTATATTTTGATATATTCTCTTTTGAGTAGTCAAACAATCAAAAGAAGACATCTTTAAAACTGAAAGTCACTTACAAAATGAGATTAGAAACATTAAAAAAAAAATGTTTGGGTACATTGTCAAACAAGTGAATGACACATTCATCAGAAGAGTGACAAAAACACTCTGCATACAATGCAGAAGCACTCTGGATATAATGCAGGAGGGGTTTAGGCAGCAGCTGGGCTGTTTTAAAATCCTGAATTTGACATCTTTGAGGCGTCAATAACTGATCCCCTTCTTTACATTCCCTGCAGTGTTAAAACCACAAAGTGCGGCATCTAATCTCACAGATCCAGCACCAGATCTGCTTATCATAATTTACAGCCAGAGATAAAAGAATGAGGTCAGTTTTAGGTCACTGATGGAAATACAAAAGGAAAAACAGAATAATGCATCTACATGTGCCTCTCAAATGAAAACTAATTTTTAGATGTCATTAAGATTGAATGAATGTTTGTTTGTTTTTCCTCTACAACTTCTGCATGCAGATTCAGTGAATACTCTTACACACTCTCACAATAACAAGGATACAACATATTATAAAAGACTTCTTTATTTCTAATCATCATGAAGCACTTTCAACAAAATGATCTCACGTGTGGTACAGGACTACAATCAGTAATAATTCCAAGCTCAGGCAGTAGTTGGGATTTGGTATAAAAACTAAATCGAGGCGTCTAAAAAAAACTCAGTTTAGATGCATTACAAGCTACCCAGAAATTAGCCAAAGAAAAGACAAACAAAATACGTAACAATAAAGCTGGTCTTGACAAATGCAACATGTAATACAACTTGTACAACTTAGAAAAGTATACTTATTTTAGACTCACAAAGGACACATACATTGTATGTGTTACATTATTATTATTCTTTTTGTTGTTTGTTGTAAGGACGTAAAAATGCTAACTACATCATTCACATATTCAGCAGTCTGTTTAAATACCTTATTTTTCTACAAAGTGAATTTACATTGTTTTAAAGTACAAAGTGCAAAGACTATGGTTTCCATCGTCGTTTTGGTGGTGGCAGGATCTGTGGGACGGGAGCCGGAACAATCGCTGCGACCACTTCAGCCTTGCTTCTTTGACAGGTTCTGAAAAAAGTCAAATGAGAGAATGAGGAAAATGCGATTTTAAAACAATGGCTTTCATTTATAAATGCAATTATCTACTTGTATTAGTAATTGGTTTCAATCTACTGCTCTGTAAAAAAAAAAAGAAAAAGAAAAAAAAAAAAAAAAAAGAGAGAGAATGAGGAAAATGCGATTTTAAAACAATGGCTTTCATTTATAAATGCAATTATCTACTTGTATTAGTAATTGGTTTCAATCTACCGCTCTGTAAAAAAGGATGAGAGAGAAGGTTGGAATGCATGTTGTGAATGTTAACAGCCACTGACATTAACTCACCAGTTTACTAGATGTTGTGCCTTCACCTGTTTTTGCCCCTGAGGAAAAACCAATGAGAATGTTTTACAAGCCGGTTCCCCATTACATGAAGGCAATACGGGTTATTTCTGAGAATGTTATTAAACAAATGCAAGCGCTCATGGTCATTAAAACGACCACACAGTCTTCAAACAATCTCAGGCTGAACCTACAGTAGGTAGAGCTCAGTATTTCCCTCATCCAGTCAAAAAGCAGAACACTTGAGTTTATGTTGCTCGTGAGACAATGCTGTAAATCCACGGATTTCATCATAAAAATTAAAAACATGCCTGTTTTAATTTTAATAAGAGAAATCATGTTGCTAAGTCATAATTATGTGAAAGTAATTGACTATTTTTTAGTTCTACAGGATTTCAAACAAATTGGATCTCGCAGATTGGAATTCCAAAAGCGCAACTGGACCTGACTTTCAAAAATCTTATTGGGGTCGGTAAGAATTTATTACAGAGGGTTTATATTTCAAATAAATGCTGTTCTTTTAAACTTTCCATTCATCAAAGAATCCTGAAAATAAAAAATTATGGTTTTCACAAAACAGGCAGCACCACTGTTTTCAACACTGATCAGAAATGTTTCTTGATCATTGTAACATTGGGAAATATATTAAAATAGTAAATTCTGAAAACGTTTCACAATATTACTGTTTTTACTATGTTTTTGATCAAATAAATGCAGCCTTGGTGAGCAAAAGAGGCTTGCAAAAACCAGTGACCAGTAGTGTATGGTCCATTCGGGGCAGTCGTGGCCTAATGGATAGAGAGTTGGACTTGTAACCCGAAGGTTGTGGGTTCGAATCTCAGGTCCGGCAGGGATTGTAGGTGGGGGGAGTGAATGTACAGCACTCTCTTCCACCCTCAATACCACGACTGAGGTGAGACCCTTGAGCAAGGCACCGAACCCCCAACTGCTCCATTGGCTGCCCACTGCTCCGGGTGTGTGTTCACAACTGTGTGTGTGCGCACTTGGATGGGTTAAATGCAGAACACAAATTCCGAGAATGGGTCACCATACTTGGCCACACTTCACTTTCACTTCACTTCAAAGTGCATTCAATGGAGCATTGGAGCCTTGCATTTTTTCCTCTACCATTTCAAATCAAATTACACTCACCCTCTTCCTTAGTGACACCCAGACAGCCCATCAGTTCCTGTAGAGACAGGGCTTTATCGTTGCTGATGTCGCAGTACTCCACAAACTTCTTCACACACTTCTTGGGTTTGGATTTCTTGCGCAGTAAGCGCTTGAACGGTTTGATTTCTTTCTTTCCGATGTCGCCGCTGGAATTCTTGTCAAGCTGACTGAAATACCAGTGCACAACTCGCTCTTCCAGAGTATGACTGGGGTCAGGCTCCAGCATCCTGAATGGAGGAAAAATCAAACACTGAACATTTTTTTATACGCACTTTATTTTCTGGTTAAATGCCTGTGAAACATGTACTGTATATAAATAATAAATGAAGTTTTCATTTGCTGCCTTTTGATCGTTATAGGGCCTGAATAGCAACATCAATTATTCTATTCAGTTAGCTAATGAATTAAGAAAATATTTTTACACCACACTGTAGGCAGGGTCAGTTAAATTCATGAACCGGTCCATTGCATCTACATTTGTCCTTTCTCAGTTTCTTGTTTACCTGCCGGCAGAGGCCGGGTCAGTTACTGCATGGACCATGTCTGTGGACAACGCGTCCAACACGCTGGTCAGGAATTCTGTCTTCTTCTCCCCAGGACATCCTGAAAAATAGAGAGATGCGAATGTTACAAAAAGAGCTGCACTCTTTAAAAGAACTGTTTAGAACAACATGTTTGAAAAAAATGAATTTGAGTGAACTATTTAGTTCAACTGTACTTCACTTTTGATTGTAAATCGGTCTAAATGTTCTTTTTTTATTGGATTTTAGTGACACTAAGTTGTTGCTTAACAAAATCCCATGAGAAAAAGATTAAAAGAGAACAAGGCTTCCTTTTATGTGACATTTACCTTCAGGTTATCAGTATAAACAGCTATGAAACCTCATAAACAGCTGTTGGGACTGAATTACCTCATGTAACTCTGCTGCTCTGGTTTTAATTACTGAACTATGTGATTTTGTCACTATTGACCTCATTAAAAATGAATAATTTGCAAGAAATGCATTAAATTAATCAAAAGCGACAGAAAAGCTGTTAATAATGTTGAAAAAGATTTATTTTCTAAATTACTGCTGTTCTTTTGAACTCTCTATTCATCGTCTCCTAAAAAAAAAAAAAAAGTATCACAGCTTCCACAAAAATATGATGCAGCACAACTGTTTTCAACACTGATAATACTAAGAAATGTTTCTTGAGCAGCAAACCGGAATGATTCCTGAAGGATCGTGTGACACTAACAACTTAATTAAGTAATGATGCTGAAAATTCAGCTTTGCATCACAGGAATAAATGACCAATCCCAAACATTCAAATATCTGAATGTTACTTTGCATTTTTAAAAATGCACCAGACTAAATGCACATTTTCACAGTTTACAGTGTATATACCATGGTACTGAATTATTGCAGTACTTAATGAATGATGAATACAGCTCTACTAACATAATACATGTCCAAACAACCATGGTCCTTATTTGTTAATATATAGTTCAGCTAGTGAATGCATACAGTGCTACACATACTAGTGGCTATTTGATGTATTGGCGCCATAGGTGGCCCAATAAACACTGAAAGATGTAAAGCTGTCAGATGTTTTTACACCAACTGCACTTAAAGATGGTGGAGAGTAGGAGAGTTAAACAATGTTACGGCTTTAGAGATTCTTCACCGCCTTGTCATAAAAATCAAACCTCCCCTATCCTGTCCGAGGAAGATGACAGCTGCCAATCAAACCGAGAATTTGGGTTTATGGTCACAGGTAAAAGCTTGCTGTCTGTGGGAATTGAGGCCTATGTGGATGTTTGGGTGAAACCCACAAACCAGTCAAAGACATGTCCAGGTCATAATTTACCACAGAAATTAGAAATTATATTTTGCACAAGCATAATGAACATTAAGCCTATTTGTAGGATTCTATGGATTGTGTCATTTTCATGACAGTTAACCCAGCTAACAAAAATTTGTTAAAATTACGTTTTGCCAAAATGATTTCTTGAATGTTCTCGGCAACTGATAAGGGACTATTCAATTTGATAATTTTGCAAACATTACGGGAACGTTACTTTTGAATGTTCTCTAAACATTCTGAAACAAGTAGTAACATTTAAAAAATGTTTGAAAAACATTCTATGAACGATGTATAAATAAAATTTTTGTGCTAATGTTTTGAGAACATTATTAAAGACCAGATAACTTTTTAACAAATGTTCTATTAACATTATGGGGGAATGTTTGTTCATAACTAGTTCTGAGAACATTCCCTGTTAGCTAGGAAGCAATTAACTTTAGTTAAGATCCCCCCCATAATCCTCATTAATATCATGCAATAAATTAGTAAATATTTAATGTAAAAAAAATATATAAAAATGTAACATGTAAATAATATGATGATTATATACTAAAATTATATATACCAAAAAAAGACCATTTTTCTTTTTTAGTCAGTAACATTCTTTTAAGTAAATCTGGTTTACAGTAAGTGTTTTATTTCGGCAAATTTGTGTCCATCTCATTCTGTAGCTTGTGCTATGTATATCTACATGTACTGTATATTGGCCACCCTGCTCTTTAGATATTAAGAGTTGGCTGTTGAAAAACCAAGGGAGTTTAACACACTCCTACACCTCCTTTCTCATATCCATCTGTCTGTCCAAATAAAGCAAGATAAAGAAAGGGAAAGTGTGTTTGTGTGTCTGTGTGTGTTTGCAAGGAGGAGTCTTCACATGCTGGTCTGTTTATGGTCAGGCCCAGAGGCAACAGATTCTCTGGTGTAAGAAGTAAAGGCATGCCGAGGTCCTCGTGAACAGGTGTGTGTGAGAGCGAGCGTGATCAGGTAAACAGACGGCCTCACACGAGAGAAAAGAGAAGGCAAAATGACATTTAAACGTGTGGAGGTTTGCGAGTGAGTGTCGTGCTGAAGATTTGCGTGAGTTTCTGCTCCTCACTGAGACCAGACACAGTAAAATATCCGTGCCACCTGTTCATATGAGGAACGGCATTCTTATTGCTTTTTCAATAAAAACAACATAACGTTTAGTGTAGTCTAGACACTCAACCAACATTTCTGACCTTTTAAGAATTCTTGGCATTTTACATTAGTCAGAAAATGCCATTTTTAATGTGTCTTCGTATTCCATTTTAGTATGAATTTATAGAGTTTGAACTGCATTGCTTGCATGAGTAAAGAAAATACAGCTATGATTTGTCTAATATAAGCCTGTTTGATTTGGTTCAAAAACATATCCAGTGTTATGATATGATATATATGTGTATGTGCTAAGCAATCCAATGCTGCAGGAATGACATTTTTGTTGATCATTTTTTTCACACTTTATTCTACAAGATCAAATACATCAGTAATAGCCCTACGGTTTTTTTTTCTTTCTTTCACTTAAGTGAGCTTGAGAAATCAAAAAAAAAATAAATAAAAATCAGACATTCATTTGAACTCTCCAGCTAATTTAAATGCTGAGTTAGGATTCACTGAGTAAACCCATCCAGATCCTGCATTTTACAACATTTCTGCGTTACCCAGAATCCTACAGCTTTTAGAACTTACATAAAAACTCTCAAGTTGCAGCAGAGTCATGAGAATTGCGGTATTGGCTGTGGATTGTGGACGTTCAGCTTGAATGTCCACACACACACACACACACACACACACCTGAGGAACAGAGGTTTATTCATTAACATATTGAGATATTGCCATTTTTACCAGAGTGCATAGTGGCAAAGCTAGCCTAGTAGTGGAGAATAAGACCAGCAATTAGTCTGTGTTTACTAAACTGGGTCATTACTATGCAGTACAGATTCATATCACCGTGATATAAGTCTGTACAATATTAAACTCACTTACAATTTATTGAAAATAGGGGTGCATTTTAAATAATTCCACTACTTTTTTGGTGCATTGTGTACTATCCACTAAGAAAAACTGGCTGTTTATTACAAAATACTCAACGTATTTCTTCACTGGTCATTATTTTATCAGTTTTTACTGTCTTTAATATCACTTTCCATACTGCACTCTCAGAAAAAAGATACAAAAGCTGACACTATGGTGGTACTCTTTCAAAAGGTAGTAATAAGTACCACTAAAATGTGCACTTCAGATACTAATATGTATCTTTAAGGCATTAATATGCACCTTTAGGGGTAAAAAAGGTACAAAAATGTACCTTTTGAAAGGGTACTGCCCCAGTGACAGCTTTTATACCCTTTTTCAGAGGTTTTGTAGTGGTGTTTGTTGGTTTTTGACACTCTAAAATGTTCCATATTGTTACATAAATCAGTGTGACAGCATACAATTAATAAGCTCATAAAAGATAAGACTGTCACTCCCTCACTGAGCAATCCTTCAAACTTATTTATGAATCCCTTCACCTTTGAAGACATTTCCAAAGGGAGGTGTTGTCTGATTCCAAAAAAATATAGCAAAGTAACACACATTCTCACACCTCACACACTGTTTCAAAAGCCCGTTTCACCACGTAATTTTAATTAAAGTATGTAGCTAATCCTATTAGTCAAAGTCTGACCAGGGTTACACATTCTGTTATTTGGGACAAAGCACAAAAGCATTTCTTATGTACTTGCACTAACAAAAAGTACCATGGTATTTCCATGGTATCTTAGAAGTACACAGGGTACTTCTTGTTAGTAAATACCATGATACTGTAATACCATAGTATTTATACCATGCATTACAATTATTCAGAATCATGGTAGATGTTTAAATGCCAGAGTACTATTCCAACTAATAACACGGTACCACCACATTATATTTTCGTAAAAGTGGATATTAGGTCTAAGCAATAGTATAATAATATAATATTTATACATTTGCTCTGAAATGAACTAATTTGAATGAATCAGAAGTGAAGTTAACACATGCTAGTGGCAAAATCTTTAAAATCATGATATTAATATTCTCGTCGTTGTTCCTTAATTATGAATTACTGTTCAAAAAATTGTGGTCATAACGATTTTTTATGTTTTCAAAAGTCTCCGATGCTCACCAAGGCTACATTTATTGTGCAATATTATTAAAATTTAAAATATCTGTTTTCTATATATATATATATATATATATATATATATATATAACCATCATACTGATTTGCTGCTTAAGAAACATTTTTTATTACCAAAATTGAAAACATTTGCGCTGCTTAATTTTTTTGTGAAACATTTTTCAGGATCTTGAAGTAAAATATTTTTTTTTTAAATGAAAAACTTTTTTTTACATTATAAATGTCTTTACTGTGACTTTTGACTAAGTTAATGTGTGTAATAATTTCTTTAAGAAAATCTAGCTGACTTGATTTTTTATATAAACTAATATTGAATATGTAAATATTCAACATATCACCTAGTCCACGTACAGGGATGGAATATTGCAGCTCCTATTATTTTGAGTCTAATCAACGACTTCATTCATGCTGGAAATGGAAGTCACTCCCTTGTTTCCTTTTTGCAGTTTTTTTATCTTTGCCCTCTACTCCTTTTTCCTCTGTTCTTCGCCACGGGCACTCCCCCACACTCATCCCTCCTTGTCATCCTCCTAGGCTCGTGCTATCTATTGTAATCTATCTTTTCTACCTCCCCTTTCCTTACTGAGATGATCTGTTAACATCTGTCGTCTATGCGGACTGTAGGGTCGTGGGAAACCAGGAGATGGTTTTAGACTCTAGATGTCACACACATACCTGAGCTCACATGCAAAAACATATAGATGCATAAACAGACATTTTTATGTTTACTTTGTGCATTTTGCATGTATGAAATGTGATATCAAATTTGCAAAATGAACCAAACAACAGGTAGTGCACCTATTAAAAGACACCTAATCAATTTAATTTTTATTTATTTCCTTGAGGTCCTCTTTGGTAAAAAGGTGTTGTTTTCCTTTTTGTAGCTTTGTTTCTAGTCCTCTTGCTATTTTTAAGTCACTCTCCAGCAAACATTGCACAATATTTTCGCATCCGCTCATAAGTACACAGTTAAGCTCACCCTGCAGGTGTCTGCTCCTGTAATGGTCCTTTGGTTTGTTTGGATGGGCTCTGGCATTTCCATCACATTTTGGCTGTTCGAATCTACAGCAAGAGAGAGAAGAAAAAACAGAAGGAATGAGAGTGAATACAAAGCATTATTGTTTACACAGTGAGTCCAACGGCTAAAACATTCCACCAATGCTAAGAAAAATGTTTAGATTTTGTTTTAAATAGCAGAAAGACCAAAATAACATAATATTGTTGAATACAGATTATCTTTTCTTCACCATTGTGATGTATATTGCAAAATAATAATGATATGATACGATACGATACGTACGATATGTGTATATAAGATATGCAAAATAATTTATAACTGTTCAGTTTTATCTGTCTATAAATGATTTATGTGTTTGTTTTATCATTCTGTTTTATCTGTCTGTTTATATGTATATACATACACCAGAAGGATGGCTCAGAGATTCAGGAAACAAAGAGGAATGGCGTGAAATACAATGAGTGGACAAAAAGAAAAAGTACGTGTAAAACAAGAGAAACGTTCATGGCCTCATTAGGAGAGTAAATGTGCTCCAATCATTGCTAAGCGACCTGCCCAAATAACAGAGAAAGAGAGAGAGAGAGGAGGCTGATGGGAAGGTAGCACTTCCATGCGTGCTCTAATGCGCTGTTTGGCACACTGCCAGAGGCTTTGTTAACTCAATACCACATTCGGTGACGGTCAGAAATCCACAGCGTCGCTCCATAACACCCCTGCAGCTCATTAAAGGTGCCTCTGAATACAGAGAGTGTCACTGACCCCTGGCAAACACACTCACAATGATTTGTCATTCTGCCAGGTTTCTTGATCAGATTTGGGCCGGTTGAGCAGCCCACCTGTTAGCAGATGAGTATTTAATCAGACTAATTTGCTGGTATATTTAGCTTTTCTTAACGACTGCAGAGCAGAAAGCTGCACTCAAAATGTTAAAAGAGACTGAATGAGATTAGGCCAAGTACTGGCCCCTGAGAGACTCCAAAGCTCAATTTTGTACCCCATAGTAAGTGGAAGAATGAGACCTGCCCCGGGTGTATATTAGATGTACTGTACTGAACAGGTCAACTGGCACTTACCATTTTAAAAGCCAAGTGGTTGGTTTTTCCTTTCAATAGAGACACACTGCTTAAGTTGTATTCTGGCAACTAAATAAGGACGGATTTGTTTCTTGGAGGCGCCAGAGGCATTTTAAAGTGTTTAAAATAACATTTTGTTAAAGCTGATGTTAAAGGGCTAGTTCGCCTAAAAATAAAAATTGGCTGAAAAGTTACTCATTCTCAGGACATCCAAGATGTAGATGAGTTTGTTTCTTTGTCGGAACAGATTTGGAGAAATTTACATCACTTGCTCACTAATGGATCCTCTGCAGTGAATGGGTGCCGTCAGAATTTGAGTCCAAACAGCTGATGAAAACATCACAGTAATCCACAAGTAATCCACACAACTCCAGTCCATCAATTAGTCCATCAATTAATATCTTGTGACGTGATATTAATCTTCAAACTGTTGCTTCAAGCTAAAATATGAGTCCTCTATCTATTATATTGTTTTCTCCAGTGAAAAAATAGTCTCACCTGAATCAAGAGAGAAATATGCACAGATCAAGCACCGTTTACAAGCAAAAACAGTCCAAAAGAGTTCTAAACAAATATGTTGATGGATGTTGAAGAGGACAACAGTGGATGGGCTTTTTCATTGGAGGAATTGTTATAATAGATTATGGTCTCATATTGTGGCCAGAAGCAACCTTTTAAACTTAAAACAGCTTATTAATGGATTTGTTTCTTACAATCACACAGTTATTTGCTTCACAAGATGTTAATTGATGGTCTGTGGTCGTGTGGATTACTTGTGGATTATTGTGATGTTTCTATCAGCTATTTGGACTTTTGTTCTGACAGCACCCATTCACTGCAGATGATCCACTGGTGAGCAACATTTCTCCAATCTGTTCCAATGAAAAAACAACCTCATCTACATTTTCATTTGTGGGTGAACTATTCCCTTAAAATGCATTGTATAAATAATATCCTATTAGTTGTACTTTTCACCTGTTTTTTTATATACTGTGCTTTAAAAAAAAAATCCTATATTGAGTGCATTACCTTGTGGATGTTCCAGGTATGGGTCGTCCAGTGTCCACCAGGACACACCAGCAGTACCCGGTGGAGGGATGGCACTGAACGGATTTGTAGAGGCCACCATGAGCACATTCCGGCACAAAAACCGCTTCGTTTTTATGTTGTCGTGCTTCTTCCTGTGCTGACAGCTGCTCCTGATCACACGAGGTCGCTGAGGTAAAGTGAGGCAGAGGAAAGGAGTGAAATACTGCAGGAGACACAATATGAGTGAGTAAGTGTCAGTGTTCTCTGTGGTGAAGAGAAGCCAAGCATCTGTGTTTCTGTACAATGAAAGGAGACAGTGACCAGGAGCTGTCAAGCTCCAAAAAGTAACTTCTCCTTAAAATTTCCATAAAAGTAGTACATAAGACAATGCACGATAGCTTGTGAGGACTAGAATATAACAGGCTTTTTCTGAAATCTAAAAAAAAGTTCCAAAAAATCCAATGTTTGACATCTAATTCCATGATTTTGGAAGGATGCTGTCCGATGTTGAAAGAATTTATAATAAATTTAAATTGAATTACATTAAAATGTTTATTCTATCTTATTTTTATTTTTATTTTGCTGAATAATTTTGGCATTCTTCTTTGGTAATTGATCAAGCAGGCTTGTTGGAACATTACATCTCCAAAGAACCCTAACATGTCTTCTAATTAAAGAGTAATTGCTGAATTTGTTAAGTTTTAGAGGGGGTGTACTCATTTATGCTGTGCACTATATATCTGTATATATATATATATATATATATAATATATGTGTGTGTGTGTGATTAAAAAAACCTTAGAAATTTATATACTGATAGATACGCATTGTATTTATTAAATATGATATCTCATGATCCTGTGAGTGTGATTCATCTGGTTAAAGGAATGTATGCTGTCTGATGTTAATTAAAACAATTAATAATACATTTAAAGTAGTTAAATTTAGTTTAATTAAAACACATTTAATGTAAGTTGAACGAATCAATTAAATACATATATTGTTTTTTATTTTACTTTTTCAACTTGCAATTCCATTCATACTGAGAATTAAGCATTGCATTAAGTCTGATGTTGAAAGAATTAATAATAAATGTAAATTAATTACATTTAAATCAAATTTGAATTGAATCCATTAAATTTAATTGAACAAATTAATTAAATGCATATATTTTTATAACTTATGATTCCATATTGAGAAATAAGCATTAATGGTTATCTCTAAAGCTCATTTGAATGCGTTTCCGCTCATGTTATGGGACCTTCATACAAGAACGCTGCCTATGAAGTCAATGACTGACTGGACGGTGAGGCCTTGGACACAGCCGTGCAGAGATGGATGGACAGCATGTTGGAGGGGGTAAGAGAGTCAGAGAGAGTGAAAGTGAGAGCTTGTGCTTTATCTGCAGCCTGCGGGAATGTTTATGACATTAAGAAGTTAATGACTGCACAGGGCTCCTGCTGCTCAACCAGCATAAATATTTACACATTGTCTCTGGGTGCCTGCATTTGCTGTGTCTTTGAATGAAGATGGTGACCTTGAGCAGAGAATCACTGCATAAAACACATTGTTTTGGCAAAACAGTGGCATCTCAGCGCTTCCTTTCAATCCTCCAAGAGGCACAATGACAGCCCCAAACACATGAATGATCCATATGGAGCACAACCTTTGAGCCATGAGATTTCTCTGCATCAGGAACCAATCATCTCATGTGCCACAACACAGCTCTCCAGCAATGCTTTGAGCCGCCTGATCTAATGCAAGCAAGATTATTAAAAAAAAAAAAAAAAAAAAAAAAAAA